TGATTAACTGTATTTTTTCACTTCTATAACAGATTTCGTTTCTCATGACGCTTGATGAACGACTTATACACCTAATAACAACTTACTTAAATAGACAATCCTAACGAACTACTGTTGCAGTAAACTTAACTGTTACACATGTTTGAAATTTACATCATCTTGCATAATTACAATACTTTGTGCCTGTTGGCTACTATGAATCGTTTGGATTAATTTAAGATATTAAACTTTTTTGATATAGGCCTACACAAGGTAAATTGACCTCCATGTTACCCAAAATTATACACAGGTCCTATATATATACTAGTGTACATGTTGCTCAAATTCAAGCAATTGCAAAGTATTACAGGGGTTATTTCAAAACCAATAACAGTCATATTTAAAAAAGTTTAACTCAATGTTTAAAAAGAGTTTAAAAAGAGTCAACTCAAATATTACCATTGTGTAACTCAGACCCTGATTACCTAAATCCCTGATCTTCGTTATTGATAAACCTAAAGCATTCCGGCTGGTTTTCTCCTTCTCAAAATGCCTCGCTGTACAGGCAACACATGTCATTGATAGAGGGTCAAATTGAGAACGAAAAGTCTTTTAGGGGTAGTGTTAGCTCGCATTCGTAACCTAATAGTTGAGATTGTCCAGGGTCAGGTGCTGACGTGTACGCCTCCTTTCTATGTTTCGTTGTTGTCGCGTCGGAGGCATTTAAAAGAAAAAAACAACAAATAAACAAATTATAGCTACACAAAACAACGATAAATGCACAAATTTAAGTTACAATCATGCTAACACGATCCGTCATAGCGACACAAAGCAACGATGAATATATAAATTCAAGATACAACCATACTAACACGGTCCGTTTTCGTTTTGGGGGTTATGTTTACACAAACTCAAATCTATATAAATAAAATTAGAGTTTTGTCTGTACATTGCTTAGAATAATGAACTTTTTGGTTATTTTTACATTTCATAGGTCAGAGAAACCGAATCAAACCTTATCTCAATTTCTGTCTGTCTGTCTGTCTGTCTGTCTATCTGTCATTCTCTTGGTAACGCTAAAATACGCACTTTATTACAACTACTCCTCAATAACTATAGCACTGTCCCGCCTGAAACTTATTTTCCAAATACTATACATATATGAGATGGTTTTAGACGTATTTCATCGAATATGAGACAGTTAGATATTTAACAGTAAACCCTTGAAAATCAAGTTTTTGTCGATTTTTGACGTGGAATTTCTGGAAGCCCATGTTAACCTTATGAGAAATGAAATTATTGAATCTTAACAGCTGTTTCAATTAAACAAGTTGGTTCTGTTCTGTGATGTTCAATAGCATTAAAGTTACAAGGATTACCAACAGGGTGCAGCACTAGCACTATTATTTCTTTTACATTTATGACAACAGCTAATTTGCAACCTGGAGGCGAGTGAGCGTAGCGAACGAGCTAACCTGAAGGCAAGTGAGCGTAGCGAACGAGCTAACCTGAAGGAAAGTGAGCGCAGCGAACGAGCTCCAACATACAGGTGAGTGAGCGTAGCGAACGAACTTCAACCAGGACGTGATTGAGCCATGCAAACGAGATCAGATAGTAAAAATAAAAGTAAGCCTACCGTTATAGGATCGACCGGCAGACACAGAGGTAATTTAACCTTTTATTGATTGTCATACCGATCCGGAACAACAAAAAACAACATAAAATGAAGCTATGTATAATAGTTTGGCCAGCATATCTTAAAATATGCAAACCAACTGCTGTTCGTTATATAAGAAGGTTTCAACTGAATATTATAAGATCCCCGTGCGTAGAACGGGTACACAGCTAGTAGTAAATAAATTTACTCAATGCGTTTCATTGAATCGAAAAATAAATAACAGCAATTAAATTATACAGCTGATCAAAATGTAAACAATTGTTCTTCATAAGGATAACATGGGAACTTTCAAAGCCACTGGGGCAGAACCCAAGGGACTTTGTAAAAAATGTAAGGCCAGTTGGCAAATCTACGCGACACGCTCTTTCCAATGAGATTTCAATGGATAAAATCGGTTAAGAAATGGCGGAGGAGTTTAACCGACAAAGTTTCATGTAGCGTATTAATTATATAGATATATATATATATATATATATATATATAACACCATATTACCACACTACAAATGTAATTCTACAATATACGGTACGTAGTTTTATCCAAACAAACGATCAAAACCCCCTAATGATATTGTTATTTGATTCAATAGTCAATGCACATAAGCGAGTCTTATCTTTCAAAGCAGATTAAATAATACAAAGGCAGAGGAATGCGCGAGAACGAGGTCACTTCACGGTTGCTATAGAAACGACGAAACTATCCATTAGAATTGCGCGCCAACGTCAACTAAACTCCAGACTGTATAAACACGCCGAGTGTGTAGTGTTCGACGGAGCTAGGCTACTTTCAGTTGGCAAGACTGGCTTCTAGCCTCGAGCGACGTGGTTCAACCACGAGAAGCGCCTCAAACTCCTGGGTAATCCCCGGTTAGCTCCTCCCACTCTGCCCCCTATCCCCACCTAAAAGACGAGCAAGTGGTAAGTCGGTCGGGTCGATTGACGACAAGTTGGTTTCTCGTATATAATAATTTAGTTTTACAGGCCGGTCAACTGGAATGACGATGAAATAACTTGTCGACGTACTGGTTTTCAGTATTTATCTATTTAATTAAAAAAGACGGTCTAGTGGCCAGACGACCAAGTATCTTGTCGGTCTACTGGTAGGCTCCCATAGTAAAATTGATATGCGTATTTCATATGTATTCACCGTATATTGGTATGTTTAATTTACTATGCAATGCTTCATAAAATGTTCGTTCATAAATATTTTGAAGATTCTCATCAAAACTTCGCACTAAAAAGCTAATCATTAAAGGGATTTAACCATTAGCTTTTTGAGGGGTCGAAACTGTGGCCAGCTGACCGTGATTGGGCTTTTAATAAATTACAAAGAGACCCGTGCAAAGTTTTCACATTTTAATAGCGATCGAAACTCAATTTCAAGACAAAACAAATAGTGGTGTATCTTTTTATTTTTCGAAGATTATGTTGGTTTGAGACATTATTAGAATAAAACTACAAAATTACGATACAATTAATTTGTTGTTTTTATATCTACACCATAAAGAGTGATTTGCCTAAATCACGTTACAATGAGAAAATGTAGTCCATTTTAAATCCATGTTCATTAACTACTGCTTTGTCTCTTGTTTACAATCTGACTGTGGTTTAACATTCAACAAAAGAATCAGCTGTTCGATGACATTTAACATTTAAACGGTAATACAAAAGTTAGTTAGCATCTCTGAATCTTTGAACGCAAACTCTAGGAATAAATAAAACTCTACGGGGGCGAAGCACAAAAGTAAATTACCTTTTCGGTTCGTCGATCCGCTAGATCATAAGCTTTAAAATAACACTTCAATCGTGAAAATCTGTTAAGTACAACGGGTGGAAAAGGGATGGATTCTGACTTCAAAACAGCTGATCTTAGTTAGTACCAAAGCTACACTAAACATCTCGCTCAATTATACACTCATCCTACTCATATTTGGGTTAACATACGCACCGTTGAGGCACAGACAATAAAATACTTTCCATTGTCTGTGGTTGAGGCGTCCCCATTTCACTTGGTATAATAAACTCCAATAAATTAATACAAATAAATATATTTTATTTATTAATTTGTATTAATTTATTGGAGTTTATTTTAAGTATCAAGAGAAATACAAAAATATTGTTCCCTGAAGAGCTACGATGAAATATCAAAGCTCTGATTATATTTACAATCGTTAAAGCTTAGTATTAAAAAAACTTCTTAAAAACAACTGTTTAATTTTTTACTCAAATTAAGTAAGCTACTGTTTCAAAACATGTCAGAAGAAAACTTGCTCTTATGAATCATAAAGAATTGGGTCGTCAGATACTAAAAATACCCAATTTACAAGGCGTAAATAGACAATAAAGACCCCAACGTGAATCCTATAGAAGTCGCTTGTCGCCACAAGATAATCATATCAATACTAATGAGTACTTTGTTTTGGATTTAAATATAGTTTTGGATAGTTTTGGAATAAGCTAAACTAATCGTATAAACAATTAATTACAAGTTGGCTGTACAATGTAAATCAAATCGATGCAATACGATCGATACACTTTAGTATGTTAATAGTTTAACCGCCATTTATTAGCAGAGATTTTAGTGTTTAAGACCATAAGAGGTTATGTATACAATGACTCTCATATTTATAATTAATACACATTGAATTTCGGCAATGAAACTGGAAAAAGGAATTCAGCACAAAAAGTTATTTGCGTAACTAGTGTGCGAAGTGGCACTTTGCACTCGCGTTACACATTGTATTTTCATACAGTTACTATAAAGCATAAAAAAAAATAGTCTTTCAATTACTATACAACACATTTAAGGTCGGGTTAAATCGAAGCGTTGAACGAAATGGGAAACACTGCACCAGCTGATCGTAGTCATAGTATCTCCAAGTGTTGCTAACTTATTTTCAAGCGTACACGTAATTACGTCCCTAATAAAACACGCTGTTTTGTGTTGTTTGTTTGGAATACTGGAGTGCGGAAAAAATGAGTGGAGTAAAAATAAAATGACTGCGGCAAAAGTAAGTAAATGCATCAATTAGCTACTTTGCGGTCTATAACCAGTGCAAGGAAGTCCACTTTGTCAGGTAACTGTAGGAAAAATAATAATCTCTACAGTAAATATGTTAAATGACGTAGGTCTATACTTTGATGGATCTACATAAGGTTAATAGTTAAATCTCTAAAAATGTATAGGCGATATGGGTAGGAGTTTATCATAATTATTGCATTAACATAAATGAGATAATCGTCTGGTAATGCTCACCAATGGTATCCTAATTGCACTTATACATTAGGTTGGTTAGACTTTTTAGTGTCAAGTTATGTTTAGTTAAGTAAAATCAAACACTAACCTTCCAAAGATGCAGAGGGATGGGATGATTGAGTGGTGACGGACTCTCCGGGGCGAAGACCCTCTCGGAGCTTCCTTTGAGCAGCTGAGCAAGAAGCTGGGGACTAGGGCGAGGGTGAGCCTTGGTGGCACAGCCCTCCAACTGCGACGGGCTGGAGGTGGTGCGGATATGGACCACGGGGGGAGCTTCAGAAGCGGACGTTGGAGGGTTTGGCGCGGAAAACGGAATGTTCGCACTCACTTTCCGCTTGGGCGTACTCCGGGGGACGGGACTAAGCGGGGAATCTGGGGATGTGTTGCTTCTCTTAAGTTGGGAGTCGTCAACAGCGCGTAGTCGATTGCCAGGAGGTTTCCCTGCCGAGGTGGTTTTAGCTAGGTTCTCCAAGAACTTCAAATCTTCGTTGTATTGAAACTTCGAAAACTTTCTGTTCGCTTCTGGCTTTTTCATCTCCGCCTCCAGCATTTGGCCGTAAGGTCCTCTCAGTGGCCTCTTGGAGTATCTCCTAGTGGCATGTGGACTCCTGGATACGTTAACGGAGCTTCCGAATCTGCTCTCACTGTCAGACTGGTCAGAGGGTCCGAGAATAGACGGAGAAGCTGTCCCATCTCTATCTCTGTTTGGCGTTGTTGGTCGTCTGTCACCGGCGTCACTTTCGTTTTCTGACAAAGAGTCGTTTCTGCCTAGAGGATGGAATCTCTTGGGTGATCCTCTGGTGATGGAATCGTCGTCTCTCTCCTCAGAGCTCTGGCAGACCAGTCGTGGTCTCTCCAGCCATCGTCTGTCAGGGGACCGAGGCCACGCTGGGCGGGTGTTACTGTCGTCTGGACTCTGTGGTTCTTCCTGAGCACTGGAAGGCCACTCACTCGAGGTCCTGTCTCCGTCTGACCAACGTTGCTTCGTGTTTTCGTCGAAACTATCCTCCGGTACGATCGGGGTGATAGTCGCGCACTCGATGAACGACTCATTCGCCACATTTTCTCTATCTGTTTTTGGTGGTATCCTCGGTTTCTCTGGAGTCAAAGATTCTTCATTTTTCGTTTTTCCCGGAACTTCCACCTCCTTCAGATGACTATAGTCGGTGTGGATGCACTTCACCTCTACAGTCGGTGTATTTTCGTCTGGCCATTTCGTCACGTAAGTCTTTATCGAGCTTTGGTTTGATTCTAAATTATTACTACAATCGTCATCTCGATTATTTTCGTCACTAATTCGTTCGTTTGATTTGTACTCTTTTGCATCGGTCAGTTCATATATACTATTTCCTACAACTAAGTCCGGACAGTTTTGATTACCGTCACTACTACAAACTATAATCACCTCTTGATGAACGTGGGTATCGACATTTTTGTTGTTGTCCCTATCACACTGTCTATCTACAGGTTGAGCATTAGTGTTATCAGGTCGCACCGAGGTCACAGACGCCTCGGACTCGCTCGGCGCCACACTATCTGTGTCACTCTCCTCCCTCAACCCCTCCAGCTGTCTCTCGACCACGCCTAAACTCTTCAGACCGTTCCCGTCGATCGAACTGAAGGATATACATTCCTCCGTCGACGATCTCGACCTCGTGAGCGGATGAGTGAGGGATCTCGAGTTCGCGAGTTTCAAGTGTTCGTCCGTTTGATTCGGGAATATCCATTCCGACGATCCCACAGCGGAATCGATGGAAGGGTTCGAACTGTCCGTTACGTCCACTACCGTCGTCGCGGAAGAGGTTAAACTCGCCGAGGAAGGAGACGTTCCAGGTGTTTCCGGAGGTTTCTTTCTCGGCAAAGTAAGACATACACTAGATGTGCCTAAGGTGGGGATTTTCGAACTGACCGAGGGGCTTCGTCCACATCGAATGTACTTCCCATCCACAGGAGAAAAGTCCACTTGAGAAAAGGACGCACTCCGAAACGGTATAGTTCTTTGGATGTACGACCCTACAATAGTCCTCGACTCTGGTTTAGGAAGTTTAAGATTAACACACTCTAAGAACTCATCTTCGGAGGGTTGTTGTGGAGAAGGTGTGACCACCGGTGGCACCGCGGCGGCGGGCGGTGGTGTCGGGACGGGGACACTCGCACTTGTTACTTTAGCACTCACACTCGCGGTCGAAGTTCCCGCCTCGGTTCTGCTGACCGGAGGGCTCTTGAGTTTCTCCGTCAGTTCCCTGAGTCGCTCGGTCTTGTCACTACTACGAGGCTTCTTCTTGTGCGGCGGGTTCCTCTTGCCTCCGCGGGTCCGGTCGCCGCCAAACCGGAACTTGCTGAGGCGGTCCAGGGTGTCCTCCTCGTCGACCAGCCGCCGCGTATCCTCCTGTCCGTCCTTGCAGACTCCCGAGAAACAGCCGGTGAGTGAGGGGGAGGGATCTCGCTGCCGCCACTCCGCCGAGGAGCGGTACACTGGCGCTGGCGGCCAGCCACGGCTAAAGATACCTCGGCTATTATTGGATGGCGGTGGGGGCGGGGTGCGCAGGGGTATCCGGGACCGAGGGCAGCAACAGTCGACGGCGGACTGCGTCACGGAGGCGGCGGCGGCTGGTAGTGGAGACAGGCGCACTCTGACGGCGCCGATGCGAACCACCGGACCCCTGCAACACGACACACACCGTCAACTCACATCTGGACACCGGACACTGGACATTGCTTATGCATTGAATCAGTTAACGCTCAACAGAGTTCCACAGGCGGGGGTGTTTTGGAGGCTATAACCACCCTGTTACAAAGGTTGTTACTGTAAATCATAAATACTACAGCCATCACCTATTATAAGCTACAAATATTATGCAACATCTCCGAAATTAAAACGAGAACACCTCAATATATGTGTAACCATGGAAGGTGTTTGTACCCCCTCCTCCATAGTTGCAAACATTGATATTGAATAACATAAATATTATAAGCCATAGTAAATTTATTCTAAAAGATACTTTCCAAAAATATATCTGGAATAAAAACTATAATACAAAAGTTAAATATTTACTATTTATGTTTGAAAAGAGGCTTAGTTCTAAAATATGTGACTTCAAGAAAATATATTAGTTCAGGGTGCACAGTTAATTTTAATTTATGACCTTCACATAATAGCATACATCGTGAAAAAAATTGTATACCTCAATAAAGGTGTGAACAAAAATAGGTGTTTTGGAGTTGAACACCATCCCCCACCAAAAATGCAAAACTTGCCATGTATTTTGTACAATATAAAAATACTATCAGCTACGAAAATTGTTTTAATTGCTAACCAATTTCTTCGGATAAACGAGGATAAACAACAGTTATTGCAATATTTACAACTATTTTATTTGAATTAATTTGTTTTGATTAATTCAACAAGATCCTCATTTCAACAGATCATGTTCAACGAGAGCAAAAGTTGATAGCAGCAACTCCAAAACAAACTTTCAAATCGGATTCAAATCAAAATAAGATACAGGGTGATTGATATAAGTGTGCCAGCCGTTTTATTCGAAAACTATAAGAGATATCAAAAAAAGTTAAATGGTAAGTTCCTTGAATTTGTTATTTAAAAAATTCTAGTGAAGTCGAAAAAATTATTTTAGCCACTATTTTTCCAATATGGCCGCCAACTTTGATTTTTCTTACGGAACACCCTGTATTTTATGATGTATTCTGGTAGAAAATGTAATTTTAAGACGATTTTATTCTTGTGATTTTTTTCATAAACCTAACCGTTTCAAAGATAATAATGGTTAAAGTTTTGAAATTTCTGCATGAGGTAGAGTTTCGATAAAGGCCTAAGCAAGCATGCCAGCTGTTTTATTCGAAAACCATTCAAAATTTCACAACTCAAACCATTATTATCTTTGAAACGGTTAGGTATATGAAAAAAAATCACAAGAACAAAATCGTCTTAAAATTACATTTTCTACCAGAATACATCATAAAATAAAGGGTGTTAGCTGGTGGCCATATTGGAAAAATGGCAGCTAAAATAATTTTTTTGACTGTACTAGATTTTTTTAAATAAAAAATCCAAGGCACTTACAATTTAACTTTTTTTTATATAACTTATAGTTTTTGAATAAAACGGCTGGAACACTTATATCAATCACCCTGTATATTTTATGTGGGAACTTCTTCTCCATTCGAAACCCCCGTTCACTAAAAGTCTGTTAATAATTAATTAATTTCAGCAAAATATTAACACTGGTTTGATGGGATAAGATAATACACTCTTCCAAATACAGTATTCCAATGTTTCACTATACGTATAAACATGTCGTTATGGTAAACAATTCGAACAAAAAATGTTTGGTTCAAAATATTTTATTTCCCTTTTAACGATGACAAATACAATTAGCTTTCACATTGACTATGCTCATTAAATCATACATGTAGTCTTGTTAGTTGGCTATTAAATTTATTATTCATACGGCATTGTTTGTGACTTTTCCCTTTTAAAAGATTGGATTACACTGTCATACTTAAAATCTAAACAGGGTTACCAAAATTCAAAAACCACAAAAATAAACTTTTTATTACAATAAATATTACGCACTGTAAATATAGTTTTAAGACATTTTCTTCCTACTTTATTAAGAAGTCATCTACGGAAATCGCATTTTACTTTCTGGGGAGCATTCCTATACATTAACATTATGTATAGGGGGCTATACATAGCATGATCGGACTATGGGAATGGGGGTTTATGGGGGGTTTTATGGGGTAAAAATTGGGTTTTCTCATTTATGAATCCAAAAACATAAAATTTCACAATTTCTTTCCAGACCATTTTGTATAGCTTAAAAAAAGAAATAATTTTGTATATTGAAGCGTTGTTGTATGCCTAACGGTTACGGAGATAATTAAAAACATTTAAATTTAAAATTCCTATATAATATTATAGAGAATAAATAAACTGCCGTAGTTTGCTTGTTTATTGATATATTTTAATCAAATTTAGCAATTTCGTTTATTTCATACTAAGCTATCAACATTTTGATAAAAACACGCATCAATACCTTCCATGTAGCAGCAAACCTAGGTACTCATAAAAATTAATGTTATTTAAATAGGAAATAAATCTGACAATTTTCTGGGAATATTTAGTAGAAGTCCAGCCAGGTAAATTGAAATTCGCTTAGTCTGCAGGTTTGCTGAGGCGGGGATATGTTACATAAAGATTGTTTACAACAAATATTTATTTAAATCTGCTCTTAGGTTCTTATTAAATTAAGTAAATTTGATGAAATGTTGACATTAGTTAATCTATGGTTACACTCCAACAAGTGCACTAACATAGACGTACAATTTTAAATTAAACCATATTTTCTCTGCTTCTAATTTTGTTGTCGTTTTTTCACGTACGTTTTAATAGGCTACTAATAAATCAAAATTACTCACTAACGTTTCTTGATCGTGTGTACTTTTCATTTTTGAATTGTAATCATCGAAGCAGTAAAATAATACCCCTACCGCAGCAAACCTGCAGACTACGCGAATCCGCATTATTTTGCTTGGTTGTATTTTCGCTTGAATATTTCCTTAAAAATGTCAGATTTATTTTCTAATACATGATGTTAAACGTTAATCAGTATAGATTTACTGCAACAGGAAAGGCAATAAAGTGTGTTTTTATTAAAATTTCAATAGCTTAGTATAAAATAAATGAATTTACAAAGTTTAATAAAAATAATACATCTATAGACAGGAGAACTACAACATTTTACTTATTCTCCGTAAAAATAACATGATCATTTTAAATTTAAAGTATCTTCAAACACTGTAATATACTAAATTATTTGTTTTTAAGCACTACGAAATTGTTTAGGGAGAAATTTTATGCTTTGATGGTCGAAGATATGAAAAATCAAATGTTACCCCATAAAACCCCGTTCCCATAGTCCGATCATGCTGGTTCGCGAACTCGTTCGGTTGAGTGTAAGTATACACATTTTTACACAATTTCATCAAAATCGGATGATTTTTACTCAACTTATCGTACTAACATATATCTAGGTCTTACCATGGGACATACGGTAATAGCTTATTCCCTAGATGGTAAATTCACTAAACAAATAAACAAACATGATTATAATTTCTATTTGGTTCTGTTGAGTTGTTTATTTACCCAACGCCAGTAGGCCATATGATCAATACCGGTCAATTCCGCGATTATTATGCACAACATGACGTCATGGATTATTCCGAAGGTTTGTCCACTTCCACCCCTCCCCGCCCCTACCAAGTTAATCACTTTGTAATGCCGCGTATTGAAAATAATTCTTGTTTTTATTTTCCTAAGACGCATAGGCTATCTTGTGACGTAGATAAACTGCGTAGCATCTGAAGTGACTACAAAACTGCATGAATTTTGAGGAATGATTTCGTAACATCGAATTTTGTATTGAAGTTGAAATACCATCAGTAAAAACCACATAGAGCACATAATCAATTTTATTTTCGATCTAAAGTAAGTTTATTCAATACCCCCACCGCAGCAAACCTGCAGACTAAGCGAATTTCCATTTACCTGGCTGGATTTCTACTATTCCCAAAAAATTTCAGATTTATTTACTATTAAAATAACATCAATTTTAATGTGTACTTAGGTATGCTGTTACAGTGAACATATTGAGGTGTGTTTTTTTATTGTAATGTTAATAGCTTAGTATTCAATAAACAAGATTTCCAAATTTGGTTAAAATATAACCATAAACAAGCAAACTACAACAGTTTATTTATTCTCCATAAGAATAACATGAGAATTTAAATTTACAATTTATTTGTTTAATCAACTCCGTTACTGTTGGGCATACAACAACGCTTCAATATACAAAATTATTTATTTTTTAATGTCTACAAAGTGGTTTGGGGATAAATTATGATATTTTGTGTTTTTAGGGTTAAAAATGGGAAAAATCAATTTTTACCCCATAAAACCCCCCAAAACCCCGGTCCCATGGTCCGATTATGCTGGTTCGCGAACTCGTTAAAATAAAAGTACTGTAGGTTTACACGTTTGTACCAAATTTAATTAATTTCATTATAAATAAATAAATATATATATATATATTTGAACTGATGTTTTTGGCCTCTGGGAACCTCCAAACGAAAAACTAAATCGGTCCCGGGTCTAGTTCTTACCATGAGACCTACGCTAATAGCTTATTCCATATATTGGAAATTCGCTAAAAATGGTCACACTATAGCTATTTATACTTTATAATTTACGAGGTGTTCGCCCGTCCTACGTACGGGAATTCAGTAGTCAGTTAAAACCGTGTACAATTCAGATCAGCTAGTTTACACATATAAAGACAAAGTTTATTGCAGTTTTAATGTGAAAAATCATCTTGTAAACAAAATGTTGTGTGACCAAAAATGTTTTTATTCCATCATAATATATACCTGATACGGCCTATACGATATGCATTTTAAATCCGATAATTTTACAATAAAACAGCAATTCTGCAATTTTTATGATGTGAAAAGCGTTTAAGTGAGGCAGCCGATTCGCACAGACGCACACTGATCATATGATATAGTATTTTACTATATTCTGTGCCTACAGTCACAGAATAGTAGTATGTTTTCTGTGCTACGGTAGAGAGAGTAATAGTCAATT